GGAGGAGGGGGGGCTAGGTAGGATTTTTAAGCAAATAAAACATGCTTAAAAATGTAAGCAGCAGTTTTTTCACTTTTTTTTTTTAAAGTTATATAGGTTTATAGTTATCACAGGTGTTATGCCAATTTGTCTGAAAAAGTACTGTACTATACTGTATTGAAGATAGAAATGTTAAAATTAGCCACCAGAGGGAGCTCTGGATTTGATGCTACTTTGCTCAGCCTCCCTCCTTGACCCTTTTGTTGTTGGACCAATTTATAATTTTTTTTTTATACACACGATAAAAGGCACATCAGTAAAAAGCTCTCAAAACTATACATTTTCTAAAAGTAAAAGATCAATAAAATAAAATAATAGTAGTCTTTTCATTTTTTAGTTATGGTTTATGCAATCTATGTTATTTTCAGTACAAAAAGGCACAGTTTATTTTACATGCACAACTTTCCATTAAATATAAAAAATTAGACTGTCATGTTCATTTGTAGTAACCACAAAAATATATGATACCCACAACTGTAAATAGTAGAAGCATTTAAAACCTTTACAGCTCACATCTTAAAGAGGAACTACAGCCAAAAAAGGTTTGGCCACAGGGGCGGACCTACCGGCAGTGCAGGGCTCAAGGCTAGGGGAGCCCACTGACAGGTGCAGACAGGGCTGGGGGACAGCACGATGCAGGCTGAGCGGGGTAGCACGGACGCTCTGGCGCTGTCAGTCTGATGCTCTCCTCTCTCCTGATACAGGCACTGTGTGCCCTTCCCCAGCCCCCTTCAGGCCATGTGGCTGGGATGTTGTCCGGCTCTGGCAGCACTACAGTATGTAAGGTAAGTAATTGAGTAGGTGAAAGGGGGGGGGGGTAGGGGGCCCAGAAACTGCCCACAGTGTGCTGTGTTTTCTTTTAGAGAAATTAATTATAATAGGGAACATTACAGTTTAATGTTCCCCATTATAATCCATTTCTATATCCCAGTGTTGAATTAAATATTGCAGTCCAGTGCGTTGCTAAGTGCAGGGTCCAGTGTGTTGCTAAGTGCAGGGTCCAGTGCTTTGCTAAGTGCAGGGTCCAGTGCGTTGCTAAGTGCAGGGTCCAGTGCGTTGCTAAGTGCAGGGTCCAGTGCATTGCTAAGTGCAGGGTCCAGTGCAATTCTAAGTGCAGGGTCCAGTGCAATTCTAAGTGCAGGGTCCAGGGCGTGCTAAGTGCAGGGTCCAGGGCGTTGCTAAGTGCAGGGTCCAGGGTGTTGCTAAGTGCAAGGTCCAGTGCATTGCAGAGTCCAATTCATATACAATTCTGCATCGCTGTATAATGTATTGCTGGGATTTGTAGTCCCTCTACAGCTGGTGCCATTCTGCATTAGAGTGTAAGCTCCTTCCCTGCCCTTTGGTAGTGGGAACTGGGGGCCCGAGAAAAAAAAACTTGAACAAGGGCCCTTTGTTCCTTAGTACCACCACTGTTTGGCCATAGTTCTCTTTTTAAGAAAAATTTATGTATAACACTTTATTATTTTTCAGTGCATTTTACTCTTTTTATTGAGCTTTAATACTATCACATGAGGGCTGATCTTCCCTCTATGTGATAGTAAGTTGGTCAGTGAGAGGATCTCTTTATGGAGACCGGGGAGGGGAGCAGCCTTTTTTTGGCAAGTAGAAGTAATTGGTTAGCTTTACAGCCACCTTCTACTAATAAGAGGTAAGCTGGCTGATGAATTTCAAAATAGTCTTTGCATAATGTACATCTGGGGCAGTGAGGAAGTGTTAGAAGCTTTTACAAGTTTTAATGCCGACTGGGCGTATTTCCCTCATTTTCTAACCAGTTGACCAGTTCTTACAGGGAAAGAAGAGGTAAATCTACAAATGGGTACACAAACAGCACATAAGTCTGACTGAGGGTTTCATTACTCACTGTTTTCCTTTTAAATAGATTGGCTCCTTTTTCCTGATCCAGTGACCAACCTTCATCACTCTTTAAAAAAACACCTCAAAAAATGAAAGTTGGTGATGGGTTTAGCTATGAGGGACTCTGGAGCAAGACCCCTCTACTTAGATTTTGATCACCCTCCTTTCAACCCCCTACCCCCCTTTCTTGCTGTCACTAATCATCACCAACTGATTAATTGAATTTGAAATTGCTTTATCATGCAAATTTGCTATATGCTGTTGACTAAGTGAAAGGGTGGTTCTTCAGTGTGTGACATGCGCTGAGAAACATGGAAGAGGGTTGTGATAATCTGGGCCTCTTTTGCTAGATCCAGAGTTGGCAACTTGCACAAAGTAATTGGCACTCTGAACCAAAGCCTACCACAGCATTTTGCAGTTCCATGCAATACCCTCTACGCTTAGTAGGTCAGGGGTTCATCCTACACCAAAATAATGACCTCCAGGTCAAATCTATCTTTGAAAAAATGTTCAAGAAGGCAGGCTTCTAACCATGAAATGTCCAGTATGTTTTTCATTTGTTCAGACATCAAACTCCATAAAGTTCAGTAAAAACAAATTGAGAAATTGGGGTATTCTAAAATTTTTGACCGACAGTGTTAGGCAACATAAGCTGTAATGAAAATGGTTTTACCGTGTGGAATCTTGTAGTCAACTTCACTTGGTTTTCTCAATTTACGCAATATGTGGTCACTATGAATATTAATAGCCATTCCAATGATGAAAACGATAACTCCTGAAATTGGAAAACAAGTTCAAACTTAACAACAAGTCTAATTATGATTTTCTGAACATTCGGTTCTGGTTTGAACTAGCCCTCAAGATGCTTTCAGACAGAAAATGTTTTCCCCATTTACTGTCAAATCAGGGCATGTTTATATATTTGTAGGCTTCTCCCCTGTATGAGCCAGCTCGTTTGAAGAGTCAGTCAGCCAAGTTATATGTTTGTAGCCAATCACTCTTCCTTTATAGCAAGACAGGGCCTGCAGTAAAAATGTACCGTATTTTTCCGTCTATAAGACGCCCCCAACTTTTCTTACCCAAAATTCAGAAATCAATATTTTAAATGATATTATGCATCACACTTACCTGTGAGCCAATCACTTTATTCAGCCTCTGTTGCATCACTGGTTTCTGGCAAGAAATCCAAGTCTTAAGCCTCTGCTCCAAGTTTGGCCATTTTGCTGGTTTTCCTCTCAAGGCCTTCTTCTTTTTGGGCATCTTAAGGAGTTGCTCTTCCTGTTTCCTCCACTGTCTGATCATACACTCAGTGGAAGGAGGTCCAAGTTGTCTCTCTGCAGCTCTATTTCCATGCTCTTTTGCATAAGTGATTACATCCAGTTTAAATTTAGCAGAGTAAGCCAGCCGCTTTACAGGTTGTTTTTCATTTTCTGACATTTTTATGGTCACAGAATGCTCTGACATTACCGCTCTGGGCACTGTCTACACGTTCTCCCCAGCAACAGCTGACGTCAGGTACAAAAGATTTATGATTGGAGGAGAACTGTTATCTTGTCTCTGCAATTCGAAGTTTCACTCATGAGGCTAGTTTGCAGTGGTATCAGCACTTTCAAAACCACGCCCCCAGTGTATAAGACGCACCTCTATTTTTAGGTAAACGTTTTTATGAAAAAGTAGCGTCTTATACACGGAAAAATACGGTACCTTTTTATAATTAAAAAGCAGTGCTTGAACCTCAGTCAATGGGCTTTGCCTAGGCTAGATGATGTCATCAGTCTGCAGCAGGAAGCATCACCTCTTCCCCAGTAATCAGACTGCAACATTGTATCTTTGTTGACCAGCTGTCACTAAATGGCGAACCGTGGTCCGGACATGGACCGAGTGGCGGTTCTGTCCGAACCGCGATTGCTGACCTGTGCTGGGTTATGGCTGGTGGACAGTGGTTACACTGGCCACCAAAGCTGGTGTTTCCACTGCCAACCATAACCCAGTGCTTCAGTCATTGGTTGCTAGGACTACTGGCTTTCTAGCACCGAAAGACATCAGACAGGGCCTGTATGTAAATGTGTATGTAAATAGCCGGGGGGAGACTTCTAACCAAACATAAATAAACAGTGTGATGCCCCAGGATCGGTGCATTAGCACTGTGCCTTGGAACACTTACAACTGTGCATTACAGGGCAGCTGCTGGTGTGAATGCAACCTAAATGGCTGGAACACGGTATGGACATGAGCTGAGTGACGTCACAGCTCGCTCCACCCAGTTGTTTACATTTGGGCCGGAGATGTCATTTTGCGGCGAGTTTTCCATCGGGTTCGGATAGGTCGGCGTGCGGTGCGACTTTTTTTATTTCCGCGAGTGGGTGGGCGTCGGTCAATGTGATTGACGCTGGATTACATCGACAGAGCCATTTTTTTTTATTTAATAAAGGACTTTAAAAAAAACTGACTTATTTTCAATTAAAGGACTTTTTCAAAACGTGTGGTTCTTTATTTCCTTTTGGTTTTAACCATTTGTTGAATTAGTAGGGTTACAAGTACCCCTTACTCATTCAAAGAGGGGGGCGGCATCTGGGTTCCCCCTTCATTAAAGGGGTACCAATGCAAATAAGCCCCCTTCCCACAGACCCACACAACCACAAGTCAGGGTTGTGGGGAAGAGGCCCTTGTCCCCATCGGAATGTCTAGTGACAACACTAGCCTACATCTACTGGTATCAGGGTATTATTATAACCTTCACGTGAGCTGTACATACAAGGCCCACAGACTACATATATAAAGGAAAGAAAAAGGAAGCATGGTAAAGGAGCCTAAATCCGACCATAACAAATAAATAAAATACGATCAAAACAATTATACTGTATATTATCAAACACATTTAAAGTGACTCACTATTGTGGAAAAAAAAAACCCTGCAAAGAGATGAATTCATATTTTCATGTCACACCATCTTCACCACCAATCTTTACTCATTTAAAGGGCTAACATTTGTAAAAGATTCTCCAGCATCCAAGAATTCACTGCTTGGGTTTCAATCTCTGGGCACTGTGGCCCCTAAGTCACTACAGAAAACCGTGGTAATATAGGGGTCTGCAAATGGAACAACACCGTGCAGTGGAGGATCAGGCAACCAACACACTTAGAAGAACGAAAATTGGTGGTGTGAATGGGGTGACGTGAGCATTAACTCTTCTCATTTATTTGTCTTTAATACTTACAGGGGAATGTAATCTCTAACATCCCTTCAAATGTTTTTATATCTTTAATCAAATGAATTACCTGATATAAATCGGATGTCTGTATACCAATTTTTTGGATAGGTTGCAACATGAACCATGCAGTGACCTTGTAAGAAACCATTGTATGAACAAAATATCACAGCCAAAATGACTATGTATAAAGGTGTCGGTCTTCCTCTTGTGATAGCTGAATAGATAAATGTCCTAGAGAAAAGTAAAGATATGAAAACAAAGAAATCGCGAATTAATACACATAGATTTTGCAATACTACAACAAAATGTAAACAGTAACACATTTCATATAGAGTACAGAAATTGTAACGGTGACTCTCATATCCATAGAGTATTTCCATTATTATGAGAAAGTCTAAAATACTGGGTACTCACTTTTGTTGCCAGCGGTTTAGACATTAATGGCTGTGTGTTAAGTTATTTTGAGGGAAAGCAATTGAGATACTGTATGTATGTATGTATGGATATAGATATATATATTTACATTAATCTTTTAGAAACACTTGATAATACAATTTGTCCCTATACATACTGCTTAAACCTTTCAGTATGCCAATATTTTACCTTTTATTTCCTATATAGAGGTATAGCATTGAAGGGACAACAAAATTTCTCTGTGTTCCACAATATTTGCTTCGTCACTGGAGAATATATTTCAGGGACCATGTCCCCTGCACTGAGAGAGTATCCATTGTGAGAACAGGTGGGAGGAAGGATTTCCACAACTCTCCAACTTTGGGGTCAGGCACATGCAATGGTCCAGAGACTGAACAATCTTGCCCCATATTTCAGCATGTTGAGATGCAGATGTCTGGAGTGAAACTGGGCATATGGAAATTCTTTGTAAAAGTTCACCATTAACCCCAGGACAGCTCCTAAACTGTAGCTTCTGAAACATAGGAGCAGAGAGTTTGGATATTTTCCTTATGAATGAAGACCCTGTGCAGCGGAGTGTCCTGGAGAAGGCCTATGTACTCCAAGCTATGAGTTGGATCCAGAGCTTGCTTCTGGGGGTTCCAGATCCACCTGAACCTCTGCAGAGTTTGAATAGCTTGATGGACATTGACTGACAGAGTCTGTGCAGACTGTTCCCTCAGTGGGAGGTTGTCTAGATATCCCACTATGGGAATGCCCTGAGAGCAAAGCAGGAACAAAAAGCCAGGTTGCACTTTTAAATAAAGATGTGTTATGGAAAAGTGACAATATGTGGGTAAAGATGAAACAGCCCTGATTCTTCCCAGCACAATACTGGCCTAAAGAGAACATCTCCCACACAACAACGTACACTGCTTAATCTTGCAAAGCAGCCATACAAACGTTCTTCTCCTAGCAGTCATGAAATTGCCAGGTTGAATCAAATATTATCTCTACAGCTGTCAGCTGGCATCCGTCTGAGTCTTCTAAGATGAAGGTGATTTAGCCTGGGACTGGGATATTAATGCCTATACTAAGGCCCTTTCAACTAAAGCTGACATGAAAAGCTTTATATCGCATATGAAGCACACATTCAAGGAAGAAACTAATGACCTTAAAGCTGAAACCACTCAGCTTGGACACAGATCCGAGACATTGGAGACTGAGAATGCCTGACCTCCACCCATACCTTCCCTGCCTCCCACATCACGTAGATGTGATGGACTGAAAGGTGACCCTCCACACCATGATTTGGATTCTTCAATATTGGCAATATTCTATTATGTCATATCACTGATACCTATCCTCTTTATACTTATATTGCTGTCAAATCAAGTGTTTGCTTTGTTGGCTCTGACTCTACACAGAAACTGTACAAACAGTGTGTCCACCACATTTGCTTACGAGTATTGTGACTCATTCCCTTACACTCCTTGGAGGCAGTCCTTTGGGTGGTTTCCTGTGCCCTAACCCTCTTTCCCTGAGTTTATGGTAGTGAATAAACTCCAAAATTTGATTCTAAAGTGACATGTACTGATTTGATCACATCCCCAGTACTTCTCAAGAATACAACCCTGAGGTGAAATGTCAGCCCACCTGACCTCTGGGATCCCTAATAGCCTCTAGGGGGTAAGTGAGTGCTACATTTGCCTAATAGTAGTTGTATCCCCCAAGGGCTTAAAGCATGGTGCTATATTTGCAGAACAGGGATGCTCCCCTACAACTCCAGAGATAGATTTCATGTACTGTGTCAGATGGCTTGAGGACTAGCTGGATGCCAAGTGTCAGGACTGGCAATAAACAGTGGCATAGTCCATTGTCCAAGCAAAATTCTGGGCAGGCAGCAATCAGTAGTGTAATTCTTTTTGCAGGCAAAGGTCAGTGCAAGCGGAAATAAATAGCAAATTTGTTATCCAGGTAATGGTCAGGACAGGTGGCAATCAGTAGCATATTCATTATCAATGCAAAGTACTAGGTACAGGAACCAGGAAGCTAACATTATCACAAGCCAAGAGCTCTTTCTTTGTGATGTTTAAATAAGGCTTCACACCGCCACCAGCCAATCGGCACAAAGAAGGTGGAATAGGCAGCTCCAAGCCACTGCCTAGAAACGAGGACACCTCTCTCAGCTAGCCAGAGAAAGCGGACAGGGCAACCACTGATAGGCCAGGGAAGAGAGAGCAGTGGCTATAGGGAGAACGAGCACCTCATGCTTCTAACAATGAGCAAGGGAACACACAACTTTAAGCACACCAAATTACCAAACTTAATAGGGGTTACTATGAGACTTGAAACCGAAGGGAAGGCTTGAGTAACATAATATGAGTCTGAATCCAGCAGAATCCTAAAACTATATACGTTGTACTATCCACAGATATCTTAGGAATCCCTAACTATGTTAGAACAACATATTTTCCTTTTTTAGTTAAATAAATATGAAATATTGCATATTATAATTTCTCATTCTTATTTTGAGCCAGTCGGTGCCACTTTAGTTTCATTTGCACACACTCACACACACTTATTCTTTTTTTAATCTATTTATAGCCTTTTGGAAGAAAAAAAATGATTTGTTTACATCGGCAGTGACTCATCTCTGATCGTACTTCTGATTCTGAAGTTTCAGTCACACAAATAGAGCCACAAGGCAGGCAGCCACTGCTGTGCAGTCTATAGAAAACCAATATTACTCTGGGAATCCTTTACCATATATTATGTTATTTTTATATAATTCGTGTTACACAAAAAGTTAATGAAGGAAGCAACAGAGATGTCAGCTACGCAGTCCACGTACATTTTAAGCACACTTCAAACATGGGTAAAGGCAAGAAGATAAAAACATTTGTTTAAAAGTATGTATAAGCCCAATTATTTCTCACAAGATTAAAATTGTAAATGTAATTCCAAAGGTATTTTTCAAAATGTTAAAATATGCAGATTTCATTCAAATAATACATACTAATGTTGCCATAAAGGTCCTTATTCAAGCACTGCTCCAGAACTAGCATGCAGTAACTGAGTATTGACCTGCATACTATTTCTGTGTTAGTAACACAGAAAATATTGATACCATTGGTTCAACAAAAAAGCCAGGCAACAAGTATTTTCAAATGGAGAGGTCGGTAACCAACCTGTATAGTTTTTTCAGTACAGGTTTCATTAAACTCAGTCCTGTGATCTTATTTGGAGCTAGTGAAATGTTACAAATAGTAACAAGTGTGTGCCAGTTCATGAATGGATACATTTAGAATGAATGTTTATTTTGGCCCCTGAATGGATCATAACACTTGGTATGCACTATTGCCTAAGCACACAATATTTCAGATAGACACATAATATTTGGTTAAGGGTTCCATTTCACTGGAACTGGTCACAGAGGGAGACAGATTGTAAAGAAAAAAAGAAGAGGAGGCAGATTGACAGTAGAAGATGGACTTGGGGGTGAAGGGGAGAGATAGTGGAGACAAAATAGCAACTAGTTGTGTTTCAGGTTGCATATAAAGGGCAAAAGGGAAAAAGGATTGACAGTTAGGCTTTGGGAGAGACAGAGTAGAAGCTGAGAAGTAAAAAAAAAAAAGAGGCAGATTGTGAGGTTATCAAGTACTGTGGAGAGGAAGGTGAGACAGGAAGTTGATAATTTCGAATGGGACAAAATGATGAAAGGCAATAGGAACTGATCTTGCACAGGGACTAGTGGAGACTGATAATGGGCCATTGGAAAAATAGGTAACGTGCATCTGAGCATTGTTGAGGGTCAGAGGGGAAGATGATTATGGCTAGGGAAAGGGATGAAGAGAGCTACATTGGGAGCTGATTATGGATAGAGTAGAGAGGGATGGAAAGGAGAGAGTGGAACAGCAGCTGATCATGTTTCACATGGAGAGGATATAGACGAGGAGGTAAGTCATGGACTGAAGCGTGAAGAGAGAGGAGGCAGAAGCTGATTGTGGACTGGGGTAGCGGTCATGCCTCAACTACCACTCTGGGTTCCAGGAGAAGAATGGGTAGCTGATATCCTTTATCCTAATGTGTAAAATCAAGATGAAGCTGTTTACACCAACCAAAACCAAAGTTTCACACTGCAAACAGTGTGAAAAGAGCTGAATCAGGAGTCCATACAGGCCCTCGTAAAAGGTGCAGCACAAGAGTAAGGAGAGTTTTTAGTGGTGTGGATACTAATGAGGGAAAAATGTGAGGGGGACACTGAAGTACAAGAATTATACAAGAAAATTTATTCTGATGATACAAGAATTTCTCTGTGAGGACATGGGCAAAATAGTACATTTTAATCCCTTATATTAAAATATTGTAAAGAGAAGGATGAGTCGGCTATACATTATTAGTGACCAACAAGAGCTGATGAGAGTTCACATGTACAGTGTTTTTTCTTTCCTTCCATTCCTCTTCTACAAACTGCACATTTTTCCTTTCTCTGAAATGTTTTAAATAATTTTTTTCTCTTTCTCATGATCTCCTCCAGTTTCTCTCAATCGTACCTTGACTGTGATGACCTAAGCCTGTCTGAAGTTACAGCTTTCGCATAACTCTGTACCCATAACATTGCGTGAATGACATTGATACAAAATCATAGATGAGTCCCTGAGATACCTTTCTGCGGTCAGGGCTGAGGAAATTCCTCACGTACATTGCTGCATTCCTCACCTACAAGTTGCCTTGCGGTAGGCCAGGGAAAATGATTCACATCAAAGAAACCTGATTAAAAAAAAAACCCTAACAAATTCCCCATGCCCTCACAACCACAAATCCACCTGGCTGCT